CCTTGGGTGTTTTAAAATTCAGAGACCAGCTTTTCATTGTAGGTAATGTTTAAATTAATCACTTAATTTAAATTAATGTGGACAACAATGGTGACAAAAGGTAATTATATTTAAGTGGTATTCTTAACGAAAAATTCCTTTGGGAGTATCTGTGAGTCACCCAGTTCAACGCAAATATCCATAAAACATGCACTAATTGTTCCAGAAGGAAATGATTGTTTCAGAAGGGCAGAAGGCCAACTAAGTGGAAATACCAGGTTCTTAATTTATAAAGTCCATAAAAGCAGTCTTTTGTAAGCTCTTCTCAAGTCGTAGCATATTATCAGGTAAGTCTGGCACAAAAACCACTTTATGCTTCAATACTTCACAAGGGCACAAAACAAGGGAACATACACTAAGAGCTTCTTGAATACATTTTCTGAGAGACTTAATACTACGTGAATTTACTCAGCTTTCAAGAACACAGGGGCATTTTAAGTTAAAAAAAAAGTTGCCAATTAATACACACTATTAACTATCTGCAATATATAATAATTCACAGAACTTTTACAGCAGCCACTCTTTGGAAATTCTATTCAAGGTCTCTGAAGATTCAGGAAATAATGCTCCTTCTCTCCTTTTAAGCAATGTCTTTTTATATAAATATAGGGTTAAATTAATAAGAATATTTTTCCTAGGTGGCTTGGTGCCAATAGAGGAAAAAAAAAGATAACCAAGAACCACAGATACGCCGTAGGTGAACTTGTAGCCTCCTGCTGCTGGGTGCCAGAAGGCCCTGGGCTCTCTGCTTCAGGCTTTAGGAGGCGCCTCCCCTTCTGGGTGGCAATGACCAGAGAGACATGCCACCCTGTAGGGCGATAAGGCAGCCCTGTAGCCATCAACCTGTGACCATGATTACGTTGTTCCCATAACAATGTCCATTGGTCGGGTGCGAGGAGCCTACTCCTTTTAAGTCTAACGAAGAAGTCTCAAGCTGCCTAAAGAAACACACATTTCTGGGGAGGATTGAAAACAAACACACAACACACAACTGTGTTCCAAATGTATGAAACACCCCTGTAGATTAACCTAAAGCGGGCACGGCAATCCTGTTCCCTCTGCCAGTTACGGCGCAAGTGGTGCAGCGCTGGCCAATGAATGTAGGAGACTCGGGGGTGGGGGCGGTTGTTTATAAAAGCTTTTCTTGTCAGACGAAAAGACTCTTGGGAAAGTCTTTAATCGCAGCTCCCTCTTTCTACCTTGAATTTGGTTGCGTGGAATTGCAGTGTCCATCTTATGACCAAACACACCGAAGGACAAAAAGCCATCGCACTGAGAATGGCAGAGTGAACCCAGGGTCTGGGTCCTCAGTAGCACTGCTGAGCCACTGTGTCAAATCTGGAGCCTCTTCCGCCAGGATTTTTGTTATGTAAGACAAAGAAACACCTCTGATTTAGTAGTTAAGCTTTCTGTTAATTGCAGCCTAAAAGAATTCCTTAATTCACGTATCGCGTCATAGATTTTTTAAACCTTTATTGATGTCTATCCGCCAGCGTTCCTCTATCCCAAGAATGCCAATGAAAGGGAGACATGCAGATTGTTAAAGAAATAGGAGTCTATAGTTCATGATTTTTTAAGAAATGTAGTTTGGAATCTGGAGTCTGAGACCTGGGCTTAAATCTCAGCTCAGCTCTGTGTTAGCTGTGCGTCCTTGGACAGGCTACTTGACATTGCTAACCTTAGTTCCTCATCTGTCACATACAGATGATAGTCTAGCTCACACAGAGCTGCTGAGAAGACTGAATTTAGTATAGTACTTTATAGACAGACAGTTGGTGCTCCGTATATGCTATTACTGTCATACTAAGTCCCTCTTCCCTTTTTGGTGGTAGACAGATTCACTTTTTCTATGGCTGAATACCGTTTTTAGATGTGAAAACACTGACTCTTAGAGTGTGAAGCCTTATCTTTCACTTTTCTTTCCTCCCTTGTTGATCTTACTTCATATTTGTGGGTGACCCAAACTTTTTTTTTCTTTGAGACAGGGCCTCGTTCTGTCTCCCCAGCTAGAGTGCAGTGGTGTCAGCCTAGCTCACTGCAACCTCAAACTCCTGGGCTCAAGGGATCCTCCAGCGTCAGCTTCCCCAGTAGCTGGGACTACAGGTACACGCCACCGTGCCTGGCTAATTTTTTTTATTTTTAGTAGAGATGAGGTCTTGCTATGTCACCCAGGCTGGTCTTGAACTCCTGGCCTCAAGCGACCCTCCTGCGTTGGCCTCTTAAGAGTGCCGGAATTACGGGTGTGAGCCACCGTACCTGATCTGAAGACCCCTTTTCTATCTATACTAAACCGCCCAGGAGATCCCATCTCGTTTCAGTTTTAAATATCACATTCTGATGACTCCCACATTTACATCTCTATCCCAGGCCTCTCCACCATGGATTTTTTCTCCAACTGTCTATTTTGACATCTGTCAAACGTCTAATGGGATCTCAAACTCAGCATGCCTGCACAGAACTGAGTTCCCAATCCCCCACCCTTGTCAGTGTTCCCTGTGGTGTAAGGTCTAAAATTAAGGCCCAGTATTATATGTTCCCTTTACATCTGCTGAAATTGGAAGGACCTTGAATGGCTTAACCGCAGGTTCCCATCCCCACTCTGCTCCCGTGGATAAGGTCCTCCAACCAAACCAACCTCCTTATTAAAAGAACCAGGAGCCATTCCTGCTTATCTGTGAGTAGTGGGTTTCAGCTCCCTGCCAGCCCGTGGAATTACTCAAACAAGCCAATCACATCTTCCCGTGGGAACCAGGGCTCACCCCACCCTCCCGATACTACAAGCCTGCCTCTCACAGTCCTGGTTGTTTGTCCTGGTCCCAAGTGCAAGCCCTGTGTGGCCCCATGTCGTGTGCTAAGTCCGCCCAGGGTGTGAGTACATGTGATTAATAAGCTGCCGTCCATCTCGTCTGTTCAGTGTTGGATGCCGTATGGTCAGCCATCCACAAAACCCTAGGACAGGAATAACTTCTCTCGCCAACAGGGTTTACAGGAGGCCCCATCTCAAAAAAAATAGTACCTTAACTTAATTACTCAGGAAAAAAATCTTAGGAATTTTTTTATCCTGACAACCCACAATCAACCAACCCATCAGCAAGTCCTTATTTATTCCATCCTAAACTGTGTCTGGGATCAAATCACTTCTTGCCACTTTCCCTGCAGTCACTCTAGTCCAAATCACTGTTGCCTGAGCCACTACAGTGTCTCTGAGTGGCCTCTCCGTCTCTGCCCATGTCCCCCTACAGTCTGTTCACCAGAGTAGTCAAAGCGATACTTTCATGACATAGGTTGGATCACATCATTCTTTTGCTTAAAATTTTCCAATGGTTTCCTGTGACAACTTGGGCTAAAAGCCAAAGTTCTCGAGAGCAAGCTCTTCCATCCCATCTGCTGTCCCTCTCCCCTTCAACCGCAACACTCCAGCCACTCTGAACAATCCGCTACTCCTTGACTCTAACAAGCACACTCCTCTCTCAGAGCCTCTGCTCCTCTCTCCTTGGCCTGGAATGATCGTCCCTGGATATGGACAGAGCCATGCATCTTGCTCCCTCCACTGTGCTTCGGGTCAGTCAGTCTCTGCTCAGTTGTTACCTCCCCAGAGGATCCTCCCTCACTCAGCCACCCTTTTAAAAATGGACCACGCTATGACTTATCCCTCATCTTGCCTTTTCTTCAGTGTACTTCATTGCCCCCAAATTATACTTTTTACTATCTGCTTCCACCCACACACTCCTTAAAGGCGGGGATCTTGTTCGATGCTACGTCCTCAGTGCTTAGAACGTGCCTGGATCACAGAAGTTGCTCAGTATCTGTTGCATAAATAAATAAACTCTGACCAAGAATGCCTGCTTTTCCAATATCCAGGCATTAGAAGTCTTTATAATTTTTGCCAACAGATAATGTGAGAAATAGTACCTCTTTAATTTGTATTTCTTGAATATGAGTATAGTTGAGTGTCCTGTTTTTTGGGTTGGCCTTTGTGTTTTTCTCAGAAAACTCTTTCCATATCTCTTGCTCAACTTTTCTTTTTCCCATTGCTTTGGAAGAGGTACTGATACATTAAAGAAATTATTTCTTTGTCCCATCATATACTACAAATATATTTTCCCAGTTTGTCCTTTGTCTTTGACTATGTAGTCATGTTATCAGTCTTTTCCTTTTAGCTTCTGGGTTTGAGGCATGCTTAGAAAGTCCTTCCCTGTTCTAAGATCATCAAAGCATTCATACTTGTTTTCTTCTAATATTTTTATATATTTATATATAAAAGATTATAATGTTTAGATTTTTTTTTTTTTTTTTTTTTGAGACAGAGTCTCACTGTGTTGCCCAGGCTAGAGTGCCGTGGCGTCAGCCTAGCTCACAGCAACCTCAAACTCCTGGGCTCAAGCGATCCTCCTGCCTCAGCCTCCCGAGTAGCTGGGACTACAGGCATGTGCCACCATGCCCCGCTAATTTTTTCTATATATGTATTTTTAGTTGTCCAGATCATTTCCCTCTATTTTTCAGTAGAGACGGGGTCTCACTCTTGCTCAGGCTGGTGTCGAACTCCTGACCTTGAGCGATCCACCCGCCTCGGCCTCCCAGAGTGCTAGGATTACAGGCGTGAGCCACCGCACCGGGCCAATGTTTAGATCTTTGATCTGGGATTTAACTTGGGGGTATAAAGAGTAAGGAAATGATTTTTTTAAAGTAAATTTAGCTTTAAAATACCATAAAAACTAATTTCTAGATATTATATAATTTATTGTTTTAACTTTCTCAAATATTCATAATTTGTAAAATACAAAGTTGACCTGTTTTACAATATAAATTTTTATAAGTACATTGATACATATATGTATATATATGAATGTGTATCTCTATGCAATAAAATATTTTCCACAATTCTTTGGAAGTCATATTACAATTTGACATTATTATCACTATTAAAGTATTTTTCAAAAAAAGTTTCTATTTCATTTTTCTCAATGCCTTCTTGCTTTCCTGGATCTTCTAGATTTCTTTTTTGTTTTACTGTATTTGTTTTTAAAAAGTTTCCTTTCAATTAAGCTCACTTCTTCATGGAGTAAGGAGGTCTTTATTCTTAGCAGGAAGGAGAAGAGATTTAGTATAAACTGGTAACTCAGAGAAAAGTTTGATTCTTCATAGGTTGTCAAATGTTTACAGTAGCTAGAAGGAAAAGAAAAAATGTTAAGTTCTCTTTAAATGGTAATTTAGAAATGCATCCACAAACCCCTAAACTTCCCCCAAATAATTTAGCAAATATATATGGTCAAGCTTAAAATAGTACTCTGAGCTGGAAGGAAACTTAGAACAATTTGGTAAAACTCCTTAACTCTACAAAGGAAAAATTTTTCCCAGTGTCCATGGCCACCATGGAAGGGACACAAGTGGTGCTGGGAGGTGGGTCTCAGGCCTCCTCACCCAGAGTTTCCTCCACTCCAGATGGGTCACTACCCCACCTTCTTACCATGGGCAAGGCAAACAAAAGCACAAAAGAAGAGATTCTGAACATATTTTTAAAATAAACTAAAGAAAACAATAATCTCTGACTCCCAGTCAAAATAAGAACTCAGGCTTTATAATGTAGCTTTGCAATCCTGTATATACTGTAGAAAAAAGAGTTTGCCAAGCAATTTCACTTATTTGAAAATAGGCAAACCTGAAGTTGATCAAATCTCTAACGCTAACTGTCAATCTCTAACTACACCAAATTATAGGCAATCCAGGGATAGAGGAACAAGTTAAATAGCATCATATGGCTGTCATCAGTAAAATCCAGACTATGGGAAATTTTATAGGACGCATATGACGGGGATTACTCAGCAAGTACATTGTAAGGGGGGAAAAAAGAGAGAGAGAGAAAAAGAAGGGAACCTTATGAACTAAAACACTTAAGGTTTATATCCACCATGCAATATATGGGCCTTATTTGGATTCTGAGTTAAACTCATTAAAAAAATTATATGACAACTGGGAATATCTAAACATTGACTGCATGTTTTATAATATTAAGAAATTAGTACTGGCCGGGCGCGGTGGCTCACGCCTGTAATCCTAGCACTCTGGGAGGCCGAGGCGGGTGGATCGCTCAAGGTCAGGAGTTCCAGACCAGCCTGAGCAAGAGCGAGGGACCCCGTCTCTATTAAAAAATAGAAAAAAAT